TTGAGCCGATCCTTATAAAATTTATTGTTGAGAATTATATTGTTTATATGCAACTTATTTGTGCCAAGTTTCTTCGTGATACTAGTGTTTATAAGAGAATTGTGGACAATAAAGTCATGTATAGGGGCTAGGGTCAAATAAGGCCCGATCATTACGAAAATCTACAGTGTTATTTATAATTATATCAAACTTAGTTGTGCCGATGTTTGGAAAGATAGTAGTATATTTGACGTAGTTATGAGTCCCATATCGGAAGGTCCGGTTATATGGGTGCTAGGGCAAAACTTTGGCCGAACCTTATAAAATTTATTATCGATAAATTTTATAAGGTTCGGCCTTATAAAATTTCATCGTGATACTGGTCTTTTCAAGTGAATTTTGAACGTTCAAATCATTTTCTGAAGGGGAATTTGTATGTGGGCTAGGGTCAAATGAGGCCCGATCATTACTCAAATTGACAGTGTTATTAAGGATTATATTAAACTTAGTTGTGCCAATTTTTGGGGAAGATAGCAGTATAATTGGCGTAGATATAAAAGGCCCAAATCGGAACGTCCGGTTATATGGGGGCTAGGGCAAAACTTGGGCCGATCATTATAAAATTTATAATCGGAATTTATGTTTATATAAAACTTATTTGATACTAGTGCTTATAAATGAATTGTGAACATTCAAGTAATTTTTAGCAGGGGACTTTGTATATGGGTCAAATAATGCCCGATCTTCACAAAAATTCCTAGAATTATTAAGTACAGTCTACGACCTGTAGAGTGCGCAAAAGGTTTACATGGACACACAGACAGACGGGCGAAAGGACGGGTATATATATTTTAATTTGGGTGTTACAAACATCAGCAAAAACTCATAATGCCCTCCCCACTATGGTGGTATAGGGTATAATAGGTGTAAAAGCTTGTTTTATCTTCAGAAATTATAAAATCGAACTTAGCTTCCCAAAACAAGTATTTTGGTATTGAAATTTGACATAAACAAAAAACTAATTGCATGACGATCGATCTATTATTGTATATGTTTAACTCCTATAACAGAAACTTTTTAAAGTATATGAATAAAAGTATAAAATTAAAATCAGACTGCAATAATAAAATTAGTACTACCTAACTAAATTATAGGGTTAACTTAAATCTATTATATACAACCTTATTAAGTACAATTATATTTCTAGTCTTTAAAATAAAATAAAAAATCAATTACAAATTTTTTTTCTGGTATACATTACATTGCATTTTGGGTGCGTCTAAAAGTCTATAAATATGTATGTATGTTTACAATTAATCATTAAGTATAGTAATTTTATAATGTAGTTTTCATTGAATGTTTAGTTTTGAATTTATTTTGTTGAAATTTTGTAATCTTAAATTCAAAACAGTTTATTTTTATTAATTTCTATATAAATTCTACAACTTTTTTCATATTTGTTTTTGTCTTCATTTATTTAGTGCTATTTCATGTATGTAGTTCTTATATTTTTACTTTTTGTATTAAAAATTCTGTTTATATCTCGTTTATTAAAAGTAAAAACTAAATTTATAAGTCTTGAGGGTCTTTTTTTGTTTTAAATATTTTTTTTATTAATTTAAATGTTAACATCTTTTGTTATGACTACGACAGATAAAAGAGAATCGTATAGTTTTTTCCTATGAAAAAAAGACAATAAATTCAGTATGAAAATAAAATTGTTACCTTTTATATAGTAAGTATTATGTGCATTAGGGTGGCCCCTTTGTGTAGGGAGAAAGAATAAGGTATTGATGTTCTAACTGAACATGGAAGCCTGGTTCATTCTAAGGCATCATTTCTCAACTCTCCAAAGAAAATTTTTTCATTAGTATTTCAGTTAAACTGATATACAATGAAATCTAATCAAATCATAAAGAGGTATATACCAATGAAAAGCTTATGATATACATCTTATGTAGATCTTAATCAAATAACTAACACAATATTGAGTAGAAATGATTTCTTGAAAATTTCAATAAAATAAATTTCAATAAAATAAATAAAACAGATGAAATTTTGAAAAACAGAAAAAAACATTGATTTGATTGTAAAGATTTTCTTGGTAAGAATTATCGATCCAGTTCATTAACGCTAGGACGAGAAATGGTATCATAGAATGAACTAGGCACAACAACATTTTCGATTTTGGGTCCACCCTAATGCATATCCTATTTTTGAGTTCTTTAAGCTCCTCGTTGAAAAAATCATACTTTTTACATTTAGGAGTTGTGCTGAAGCTTCTTTTTTAGCGTCACTAAATATGAACAAAATTGTCTCCCCATCAGATAAGAGTTCTGTGTACCTTAGGGATGTAATACCATCACGTTGGCAATGTTGTATAAGTAATGAAACAAAAATATTCACGCAGTGTCTTCCTGTTTCTCAGGAAGAACTATATACAAAATTCAAGTAGGGGAGGAGTTACACCCACTTATAAAATAAGTTAAAATATCGCGTATCTCAGAAACTGCAAAATCTAGAGTTCTCAAATTTTTTATGGACAAATTTTACATCCATATGAACATTTTGGTGCAAAATAGGTGACCTAGGAATAGTGGACGTGGCACCTCCCATACAAAATTAGAATATCTGAGAAAATTATCACTTGAAAAGACGGTGTTATATCAATTATTTCTTAATTAAGTATTTCCGATATTTATGAACCGATCTTGCTGGTCCATAAATATCGGAATGTCAAAAGTATGGATCTTGGAGCAAAACTTTCGGAAACGTATTCGATATAATGATAAACGGTGCTGATACCGTAAATATCAGAGACCTTTAAAAATTGCTCTCAAATTACCTACAAATAGACGCGTAAGCAAACAAACTTATGTAAAGCCTTGGCACACAAGTAAAGAAATTAAAAAATGTATAACATTAACCTTTTATCAGAATCATATTGAAATATTCAAAGAACTACTTAATAGTAATTAAACCATAACCCTTATTCAACAGACTGACCACTGAGCTTCTCCTGTAAAAAGAAATTTAATTTAAAAGAAATTATTATTAATAAAAACTGCACTTTAATTTTCATTTAGACTTTACATTTCTATTTTGAGGCAATTAAAGTCGTTTTCATTACCCCCACAAAAAGGTAACAATTTTCTTAATTAACTAAAACTTTTACTTATTACTCTTCTTATAATTTTTTCACTTTCAACTTTAAAATAGATACCAAAAGAAAATCGAAGAAAAAAACCCTTAAACATAAATTAAAAACTCTTAATACAATACACGCACAGAGTAAGCTTACAACGCCACTGAATCGTCGGAAAGTGAATTTGATGCATTTCTGCTGGATGATAGCGTTGTTGCTTTCAGGTGGTTAGAGGCAGGTGTGGTGGCACTATTATTATGTGAAAAACTACTCGAGTTGGTAGGTGAGGCTGCTGATGATGATGATTTTGAGGTGGTGTTAGTAGTAAGGGTGGTGTTAAGAGTAGATCCTATTGAACCATTTACTTTAAGCAAACGTGATGGCTGTTGTCATATTTCCTGTGATGGAGCCGACGATGTTGTCGTCACTGCCGTTTCATGACTGTCTCCCACGTAGCCCTCATCGGGACTGTCGGCAAGTGGACCATTTAAATGTCGTGCTTTAGTATTTTTTTCTGTTGAGTTAAGAGAACAAGATGTTGTTTCCTGTTGAGATTGTTGCTGCTGCAATTGCTGTTGTTGTGTTACACTAACTGTAAGTGATGATGTAGTTGGTGATATATCCGTTTCATCACATTCTGGTATGGTTGAAGAATCAGCCTGTGCTACCGCACATCTTTTTCTTTGTGCATCCATATTGGTTTGTGATGATGCCGATGACATGGTCGTTACTGGGGGTGTATTGGTAGTTAACGGTGTTGTAGTATTTATAGAGGTAAGTGGTTGCTGCTGTTGTTGTTGCTGCTGTGGACTTAACATACCCATTATGGTGGGTGTATAGTGTATGGGCTGGGCATGATAGCCCGGCAGACAAGGTGGCCATTGTTGTTGCTGCTGATGCATTTGTTGTTGCTGTTGTTGTTGATCTGTATTACTTTTGTAACCCTCCGGAGGTGAAGGATACTGCACTAAATGAGTTTGTGGATATCCCTCAGCAGTAAAACGTACATTTGGTATGTTGTATTTGTCATAGGATGTTGGCGTTCCTGAACGTTGCTGCAGAAATTCTGCCTCTAAACTATATCGCATACCATTATTGTTATTTGCATTGGCAAACTGTTGCTGCTTGTGCGCTCTATTGTGTGGCAAGGTACGATAAAAATTTTGTTGTTGCTGTTGTTGAATATTTGCCTGTTGTTGTTGTTGCTGCTGTTGTTGAGCTGCTGATTGCTGTTGCATTAAGTGATGATGTGATGGAGGCTGTTGTGGTGATTGTTGCAGATGAGCATTTGTGTAATCGTAGGCAAAGCCATCCTGACCCAAAAAACAAACAGGATTTAAATGCACATCAACTGGATGAGTGGGTATTGAATTCATCACTGTTTTCAGCTGCATGCCTCTTGGTAATGTTGTCATGCCACCAAATCTCGATGAGGCCATGGCGGCCGCCGTATTAGGCCTTAGGATTTGTGAACCGAATTGTGGCGCTGACAGCTGATAATACTGATCATATTGCACAGGATTTTGACAATCACTTTGACTATCATATTCTGAGCCGCCAGCATCTAGAGAGGATGAAGTTTTTAGTTTATGTTTATAGCCCGATTCGGCATCGTTAACTAAATCTGGATTCTTTTCCGCATAGTTGCGTAGTGACGAGGGTGGTGAACAATAAGCCAGAGTAGAGCTTAAGGCGGGATTAACCATTAGTGATTGTGGCGGTGGTGGTGGGGTAGCCGAATTTAAAGCTGAGGCTTGTGCCATATTAACACTTAGTTGCAATGTTTGTGTAGAACTGTCTAAAGGATTGTACAGCATTATATTCTGCTTTATTTGATTGCCTAATATGACACCATTCTCCTTGGTGAGTTTAGTAGGTGTTAAGGTATCGCATTGTCCTAGCATTAGACCGGAATTGCCATTTAAACTATCATTGTCATTTATAATGGAAGAACACTTCATAAGGCCATTGTCATTGTTGGATGAACCATCTGAAGAAGAGGTGTTATTGCCATTCACAGATGTAACACCCGAGGAGGGACACTTTTTACGTTTAACTGGAGTTTGACGCTTTTTACATTGTATAATAATGAAGGCTAATATAAGTACAAAAATAATACCACCACCGGCAGAACTTGCCACTATATAGTTCATATAGTTCTGGGGAAAGGATACCTCATTAACCACGGGCGGTTCCTTGATCATGACCCTTATGGTGTAATTGCTAAAGGTGGTGCCCGCAATATTTTGTCCCACACACGAAAAGGTACCATTGTCCTCTATACCAACATTGTAAATAAAAATTTCACTTCTTTTCTCCTCTGAGGTAGTTGAGGACTCATCGATGTAGTACAGCATATGCATGTTATCTACAAAGCTGTCATTGGACATAACTTGACCATTAAATAGCCATAATACTTTAGGTTCTGGTATGGCCCTCACCACACATGATATGGTAAGATTACGACCCTCTGATACCTCAGTGTAAGTAGACTGAGGTGAAACTTCTGGTAGGCAGGCAAATTCTTCACGTTTTAACGATTTTATAACTTGCCCCTTAAGACGAGGAGGCTCCACACATTTAGGTTCTTCTGTTTGAGGTGTATTATAATTATTAAGCCAAGAGTGCAAGTCCAACAAACGACAATCACAAGTCCAGCGATTACTTTGTAGGCTTATGCCGTGCAGCGACTTTGGCAGTATATGATTACCTTGTATATAACTAATGCGATTACCATCTAATCTAAGCCATTCCAAATTATCCATGCCCACAAAGGCCTCATTTTCTATTCTTTCAATTTGGCAGTTACTTAATTCCAAGGTGGTGAGAAATGACAGATATCTAAAGGCAGCTGTTTTCAGTTCTCTTATAGGATTACCACTCAAAGTAAGTCTCATCAATGAACTGTAGTCCTGAAAGGTTTCTGAGGGTATGTGCTGCAAGGAGTTCTCGGACAAATCTAATTCAACTAGATTTGTTAAACCCCTAAAAGCCTTTTCGTGTATTCTAATTAACTGATTGCGGGATAGATATATTTTCTGTAAGTTTAGTAAGTCCATGCGTAAAAAACGTTCACTTTGCAAAACCTGCAGGGAATTGCCACTAAAGTTTAATACTTGTGTACCCGGATCCATGCCTTCGGGTATATTGGGCAGAGATTGACCACCGCATTCTACGGTCTGTTTGCCACCCTTCCATTTGCATATGCACACTTCAGCTGGACAGCCTTCTACGCCTTGGATGAGAACACAGTTTAACAACAATGTATAGCAGATTACTAACACTATTGATTTACGGCTTAAACAAGGCATTTTTGTTTCTTGATAACTCGTTTTGTTTATTTCTAATTAGTAGCTCTTCCAATTTCAGTTTTATAAAATTTTGTAAATTTTGCTATTGTGTTTATATAAGGGTGTCAAAAAATTACGTTGAATCCTTTTGAAAATTCAAATTTAAAGCATAAAAAATCGTTTGTTATAGGCCAGTTAAACAACATTAATGCCATCTAGTGACAAGATAATGAATTTAAATATGTAATAAGTGCAACTATCACTTTAAGTTTCTTTTCTTTTTCATATATCTCTTAAGTCTAATCCCTTTTAGGCAGTTTTGGGTTTTAAAGACTGCTAGAAATGACAATCATATTGAAAGGCAGCAATAAACAAAAATACTTTAGAAGTTCTTGTCTAAGGATTTGATGCCTTTCTCGTGTTTCTTTTTTTTTTTTTTTTTGTATCTCTAGTTTTAATTTTTTAAACTGTCATTTAAGCTCATATTACGCACCAGTTTTTTTGCTTTGGGAAATTTTATTATTCTGTTCTTTCAAACCCTACACCACAATGTTGTCGTTTATAAAGGCGTCTGCTTGTCTTTTTTTTCGAATTTGTATTTTTTGTTTTATATGTATCCTGTTTTATAATACTTTTTTGTTGTTTTCTTCTTTACTAAGTTGATTTTATTTTCTGCTTTTTATTAACTTCAAGTTTTAGTTTTTCGTCTTTTTTGTTGTTTATTCCTCTGTCTTCATTATTTGGGTTGACGTCAGCATATTTTTTTGTCTTCTCCAGCTGGCTCCTAAATCTTTAGTTTTTTTTCTGCCCCATATAAGCGCCAATTGTTTTTTTGTTTCCAAAATTTTACTCTATGTTCTTCTTATCTATATGTTTGTTAATATTCCTGTTTTATTTTTGCCTCTGCTTTGTTGGTAAACCATTTGTTTATTTTTGGGGTTTATATTATATTTCCTGAAGTTTTCATGAAATGAATGAAATCAATTTGGTATCTAGCTGTTTCTCTTTTATTTTCATTCTAGTTTCTTTCAACAAATCATTAAGGCCATTAGTGTGTTTTGTTGTTGCCGCCTTTTTTGGGGGGATCTAAAAAGAGAAGAAAACAAATTTAAAAGAAATTAATGGAATAGTTTTGATTTAATAAATGATATTAATTTTTTTATAACCTCCATCAGTGGAGATAGGGGGTAAAAATATACGTTTGTCTTTCCATTTGTAGAAGTGGAAGATATTTTGAAATTATTGAATTTGGTCCTTTATTTCACCTAGCCTCCCATTAAACCGTTTTATATAAAACTTTATGACACTGCCGATTTTCGTTATGATCGAGATTGAGCCACCAAATGAATTCCTCCTCAGAAATTAGCTTGAACTTCCTTTATGCCCTACATTTCCTTATAGTATTTGATATGGTCCAATTAGGAACTGATTTCATTTGACAAAACCCTCTTTAGAAAATCGGTTTTCATCGGACCGATCCTCACTAAATCTAGTAGAAAGATTTTGGGTCATATACAACTTACGTGTATGGAATTTCATCGCTTTATTCGTCGTTTTAAGCCAGTAATGATCGTTAAAGTCATTTTCTGAAGTGGACATCATATGGGGGTAAGATCAATTATGGACCGATCCATGGTAGAGAGATTTTGGCTTGCGAATAATTTACTTGTGTCAAATTTTATTGCTATACTCGTATTTTTTTTAGCCAGTAGTGAGTGTTAAAGTCATTTTCTAAAGGAGACTTTGTTGAGCGGTAGGGTCAATTATGAAATGATCCTCACTAAATTTAGTAGAGAGATTTTGTCTCGGGGGAACTTACTTGTGTCAAAAGTTATCGCTACTTTTTAGCCAGTAGTGGGCGTTATAGTAATTTTGTGAAGGTAACCATATATGGGGGGTAGGGTCATTTTTGGGCCGATCCTCAAAATTGGTATAGATGTTGTAGCTCGTAAGAAACTTACTTATTTTCATCGCTGTACTAGAATTTTTAGGCCAGTAATGAGCGTTAAAGTCATTTTCTGAAGAGGACCTTATAAGGCGGGTAGGGTCAATTATGGATGGATCCTTAAAAAATTTGTTAGAATTTGGCTCGTATGCAACTTATTTATGTTGAATTTCATCGCTATACCCGTTCTTCTAAAATAGTTTTTTGCGGGCCCGCTTGTAAGAGGGCTATCCGAAAACGTGAACAGATATTGCCCATTTTCAATGCCAAACCTTATCTATGGAAAATATTTATGCAAAATTTAAACTGCCTAGCTCTTAACGTGTGGTCCCTATCGCGATTTCAAGAGACAGACGGACGGACATGGCTTTTACATCTTAGAATTTAATAAGGACCCAGAATATACATAAATACTTTTATGAGTCTATGACCAATATTTCGATGTGTTACAAATGGAATAACAAAATCAGTATACCCCCATCTTTTTTGATGGTGAGTATAAAAATTAATATATTGTAACAATTAATAATAATTCCCCGCAGTTTTATTAACTTCAAGAAAAATATAAATTTTTAACAACTTTCTAACAATATAAATATCCACAAAAGACAAATTTTATAGTAATAATAAAAATTGCTTATAGTTAACTAATTTTATTAGTTCCCCTCTTCAAGTAGATAACCTTGAGTTTTCACTTTTATTTTCAAGGACTTTAATAAATTTTATTATCTTATCTCTTCACTTCGCAGCAAAGATCAAAAAATCACCAATACCTATATAACGTTTTTTTTTTTTTTCAAATTTATAACCCGTGCAGCATTTTATGTGCCGTTTAAACAAATAATATTTATTTTTAGCAAAGAAAACCTACCATTTTTATTTGTTTATTTATTTATTTGTATTTATTTTTATTGCCAACATTATTGGCAAATCAATAATATTATGGGGTTCTTTTCTTCAGCAATACATATTTTTGTATCTTGTTTCATTTAACCCCTTCTTAGCATTAGAGAAACAAATACATACAAACACTCTTTTTTTGAAACATAAAAACAACTACTTAAGTGTGGAAAACATATAAAATGCTAACGAAAAAGTAAAATCAAATCAAATGAAGGAGTTGAAAATGATGGTAAGATTGTAGATTTATATTGAAGACGTTTACAAACATACATACAAAAGTCTGTATTCGTATATACTATGTATGTATTTGTAGAAATGTTTAAATTGTACAAGCTCAAGCTAAAGATTATGATGATTATTGTAAGACTTTACCAAGATGATGATGATAATAAGAAAATGTCATAAACAAACGCAGCCACTTGAAATAACATTTCAAGATTAACAAAAAAATATATAAATAAAGGAAAATTTCTATACAGTTAGGAATAAAAGACTAGCGGCTGTGTTTGTAATTAAGTGAAATTAAAGTGCAAAATTTAAATATTGGACTGATTCTAAGCATAAGGTTTCATGGATGGACAACAGGTGTACAGACGTAATGACTAAACTAATAGTTTAAATAAATAAATATTTAATAAAAATCTTTACAATATTTCAATAACAAGTTTTTGTGCACTATGGGACAGAAATAAAGCATATATGAAATAAATCTGAAATTTTAATGTAGTTTATCTAATTCACATAAATTCCCTTAGCTCTAAAAAGTACCCAACTTTTTTGAAATCTAAATGCTATTACATTGACCATAACTGTTAATAAATGCGCATTAAGTGAAAGGTTTCTTAGAAACAGCAAAACATAAGTTGAAGAAAAATAATGTCTACAAAAAAAAAATACAATATGAAATTGTAACAATGGTAATCAAATATAGAAAGCTGAGTAGACAGATTTTTATTTGGTTACACTTAACATAATTTTTATTTTATTTATTTTTTTCTTATATTTTTCCCTTTTTTGTCTTTTTTCTCTTTTCTACTGTTTTTTTGTATCATAAAAATTGTAATATATATTTTGCTGCTGTTCATGGTTAAAATAAAAGAGGCCTTAATTTGTAAAAAAACGCATAAAATGTGAATGAAGGATTGTTTGTTAAAGTATTACAGTAAAGTGTGTATAAAAAGCAACCATTTTGCTTTTAATGCATAAAAAATAAAATTTAAATGAAATTTTATTTCAAGGGATTTTAAAGGAAAATTTTATAAGAGCATTTGTTTTATTTATTTTTTTCAACAAATTTAACAGTTTATTTTATTAGTTGAGTTATCTTATGTTTTATTTATATTTTTTTTTCTTTTAAAATATTTTGTTGTCAGAAAAACACTATTTTACACAGATAGATAGACAGACAGACAGACAGACAGAAAGATATCACTGCGAAAACTTAATTAAGTAAAATCGTATTTCATTTGTCGTACGCATACTTAACATTTAAAATTTCCTTTTATTTGCTTAAGAAAACTCTGCAGATTGGAGGGAAGGACAAGTAGCGCATGTATATTTACATATATGTATATATTTTTTTCTAATTTAAAAATAATTACTTATCGGACTTATGCTTTAATTTTGGTAGAATGTTGTATTAAACGTCTAGGATGTATTTCTTTTGCACCATCATTGTTCAAGTATATTAATAAATAACTATTTCGGGTCAATCACCAAAAACTACTGGGTAGTTACTTATTTACGTATTTTAGTATGTTCCACAAATTCACAAATATTTTTCTTGGCAGGTTGTGGTGTAGGTTGCTAATATCAACTCGACGATATGTTTTTTGTTTCATTAAGAATCATTAAATAATAATGAAGAAAAACTACAAACAATTGCTAGCATTAGTTTAACCTTTAAAACGGGTTTAAGAAATTCAAAAAGAACTAGAACTGAACTAGAACTGAACTAGAACTGAACTAGAACTGAACTAGAACTGAACTAGAACTGAACTAGAACTGAACTAGAACTGAACTAGAACTGAACTAGAACTGAACTAGAACTGAACTAGAACTGAACTAGAACTGAACTAGAACTGAACTAGAACTGAACTAGAACTGAACTAGAACTGAATTAGAACTGAACTAGAACTGAACTAGAACTGAACTAGAACTGAATTAGAACTGAACTAGAACTGAACTAGAACTGAACTAGAACTGAACTAGAACTGAACTAGAACTGAACTAAAACTGAACTAGAACTGAACTAGAACTGAACTAGAACTGAACTAGAACTGAACTAGAACTGAACTAGAACTGAACTAGAACTGAACTAGAACTGAACTAGAACTGAACTAGAACTGAACTAGAACTGAACTAGAACTGAACTAGAACTGAACTAGAACTGAACTAGAACTGAACTAGAACTGAACTAGAACTGAACTAGAACTGAACTAGAACTGAACTAGAACTGAACTAGAACTGAACTAGAACTGAACTAGAACTGAACTAGAACTGAACTAGAACTGAACTAGAACTGAACTAGAACTGAACTAGAACTGAACTAGAACTGAACTAGAACTGAACTAGAACTGAACTAGAACTGAACTAGAACTGAACTAGAACTGACTAGAACTGAACTAGAACTGAACTAGAACTGAACTAGAACTGAACTAGAACTGAACTAGAACTGAACTAGAACTGAACTAGAACTGAACTAGAACTGAACTAGAACTGAACTAGAACTGAACTAGAACTGAACTAGAACTGAACTAGAACTGAACTAGAACTGAACTAGAACTGAACTAGAACAACTGAACTAGAACTGAACTAGAACTGAACTAGAACTGAACTAGAACTGAACTAGAACTGAACTAGAACTGAACTAGAACTGAACTAGAACTGAACTAGAACTGAACTAGAACTGAACTAGAACTGAACTAGAACTGAACTAGAACTGAACTAGAACTGAACTAGAACTGAACTAGAACTGAACTAGAACTGAACTAGAACTGAACTAGAACTGAACTAGAACTGAACTAGAACTGAACTAGAACTGAACTAGAACTGAACTAGAACTGAACTAGAACTGAACTAGAACTGAACTAGAACTGAACTAGAACTGAACTAGAACTGAACTAGAACTGAACTAGAACTGAACTAGAACTGAACTAGAACTGAACTAGAACTGAACTAGAACTGAACTAGAACTGAACTAGAACTGAACTAGAACTGAACTAGAACTGAACTAGAA